TTTTTTGTGTCTCTTTCCAACCATGAATCCCACTTGATGTAAAAGAAAAAATGTATTATTTGAAGAAAGAATGACTCTCAAACGGAGTCTATATTATTCCCTTATCAATACAAATCCTACTATCTAGAAGCACTATTCCAACTTGATGCATTTTTAAAAGCTGCCGACCTGCCATCTTCTTCATTGCCAAAACCGTAAAGACTTCACCGACAAGCTTGTCTTTTTTGTATGTATACTGACCGGAAAAAATCGGAACAAGAGGGATAGGGTCAACGGGTTCCCGGTTTTGGCGCTGGTTGGGCGGTTTTTCCCGGTTTTAGATTTGTGCGGTTTTCACCAACAAAAACCCGACCGGTCGACAAATCTCATTGCTGGAGTGTGTGGTGTTGTCATTCCATTGGGTGGCAAGACGCGCCGGTTCCTCTGGGGACTCAGTACTATGAGAGGAAACAGGAGAATGAGAGTCCTAATGTTGAGTTTGATTCATCGGACATGGTGTCCGAATTAGGGATTGTTCCAGTAGAGAAAAAGAGGGGGATGCAAAGGTGTTTGGGGAAGAGGAAGGGGGTGTAAAAGAGGAGCTTAGCTTGTGTTGTGGCTTTGAGGTCAAGGAGTTTCTGTACCACTTTTATCAAAATAATGTCATTGAAAAGATTGTTAAATGGATTGGGCTGGATAGTGGTCTTGGGCCATTTACATTAGGGTAGTGTGTATTGGTATTGTTTTGGGCTTTACTCTAGGGTTGGAAGTTGGCATATTAATAAGAAAAAAAAATGGGTCATGGGGTTAGGCCCAGAAGTTCAGTGTGGGCCTGTGCCCACATTGGACCTCATTGGGCTCCGTCCCTGTCTGTTTTAATTAAAATCGTTTTCACTTGTTACCATTCATTTATAACTTCTTCGTTTGCTTCATGAATTTTTCGCTATTGCTATGCACTTTAGTATTGAGATACGATTTTAAACCAATCTCTGTTAAATGATATGAGATTTCCAATAAAGGTATGAGGTTGCACCACCAGTAAATTGGGGAATTCGTATTGTTCCTGAGAAGATGGCCTTTGTAGTTGAGAGATTTGGGAAGTATAGGAAGACGTTGACTCCTGGATTCCACCTGTTGATTCCGATTGTGGATAGAATTGCCTATGTGTATTCCCTTAGAGAAGAGGCCATTCCCATTCCAGAACATTCTGCGATTACGAAGGATAATGTTAGCATTTGGATTGACGGAGTACTCTATGTTAAGGCACGTATTTCATATTTTTGCTGGCATATTTATAATTGAACGTGATTTTCAGCATGAAATTTTGACGAGGGACTGAACTTGCTGTAGATTGTGGACCCCATGTTGGCCTCTTATAGAATTAAGAATCCATTGTATGCAGTTATTCAGCTTGCCCATAGTACTATGCGACGTGAGCTTTGTAAGATCACTCTAGACAAGACTTTCGAGGAACGTGACACTCTTAATGAGAAGATAGTGGTGAGATTTCTCTCGTTTATTTTTATTTTTTGTGTTTAGTGATTGTTTGTTTCATTTTGAATTATATAGGATAAGTTGCAAATTGCAATTATTACTATGGAAACTCTACTGTTCTTAATTGAATCGGTTTGACTTTTAAATTTTAGTTTGTATGATGTGCTCTTTGAATTTTGTCCTACAACCTATGTTGAGGCTTTCATGTAACGGGTGCAAGTTCTCCTTGCTGCCATCAGAAGTATTTTTTTATTGTGCAAAAAAAAAAAAAAAAATTCATATACATGTAATATTGATTGAATGGAGTTGCTGAAAAAAGATTTTATATAACTCATCCCAAAGTTATCTAGAACAATATTTAGTTTGTTGTGTATATGAAGCTACTTATCTAGTCACCGTTATTTGTGTAGATACTGCTTGAGTTATGTTTACTTATTAAACAACTGGTATAGTGAAAGAAAATGTATTGGTTATAAATAAAATTGGGATTTAAAAGCATTCACAGGCAGTGTTGTATTGTTCAATTATAAGGGATGTATGTCATTTTTAAGATAAGAAATCATTTCATAATGCATAACATCCACATCCTCTTCAAGTCAGAATTATTTTCAGTGGGCTTAGTAGGTAAGTAGTTTAGCCTCCATTTGGTAAATTGGTTTATGTGGTGACTGCTTTTGCTTTTTATACAAATAATCGATTGTGAATCAGAAACGAGTGCATGAATATTGTGCCTTGTTTCCAATTTGTATTGTAAAAAACTGTTTCTCAAGTGGTTGTCCTCCGCTACTGTTGATTAGAATCAGATGTCTATCTCAGTTCCTTTAATAGTTTTACTTAGTATTAATGGCATGTTTGCGTAATTGAGCTTTATTCCATTACATGTTCTCTTATTTATATGTTTTTGATGTCTTTGGAATTGCATTCCTTGCAGATAGCCATTAATGAAGCTGCAAAAGATTGGGGCGTGAAATGTCTTCGTTATGCGATAAGTGAGTGACTTTTATACTGAAATTTCTTTGGTTAAGAAAATTCCTCATGATTTCATTTTGCAGCATATTTAATAATTGAAGGGGACATATTTCCACCACGCGGAGGGTTTCAGAAGCTGACAAGAATGAAGAACCATCTTAGACAACTGGTGATGAAAGTTCCACGACTGCTGAACCTGCTGGTGCCTTTTCTCGCTCCAAAGCCCTAAGAAGGATAACTAAATGGTTCAAAAGGTCCTTCTAGTATCTTGATTTTTGAGCTAGTCTAATTCCTATGAAGAATTGACAATTGCATTGGTTCTTTTGCTTGAGATTTCATATACATTTTGCAAATCTAAAACATAGTTGCACCATTTTAACAAGGCTCGTTTTTGGAGACAAAAGTGAGTTGGGTTTTTCCATAAAAGTTTTCTCTATGTTGGTTTGCTTCTTGGTGGCGTTCTTGTGTAATGTACAATCAGTAAGGTACTACAGCCATGCAAGTATACTCGTCAATGTCCTTTTCAAGAAAATGACACAAATTATCTTGTTAACACTGAATATGTAAGGAGGACGGTAAAACGGGGGAGTTATTTCTGGTCATTAGGGCTGAGGGCATTTTATCTTTCTTTTCCTTTATTTTTGTGGTTATTTGGACCAATTCCTATGTTATTGTGTTGTATTGTCCTAGTTTTTTTGTTGTATTTCTTGGATTTTACTTTTGGTCATGGGTGGGATTCTTTGTCTCCTCTTGAAGAAAAGAAGACGAACGAGGAGGCCAATTGAGAAGATGACAGATTTGATACTACAATAAAGAGAAAAGTGCCATGGAGGCGGGTCGGGCTGCTGTTTATTTGTCACTTTTGTTGTGAACGGGAGGGCAATGTGGATTCAATCCAAGCTTAATCGAATTGTTCATTTACCTTGTATTTAACTTCTCCTTTAGTCTAGATTTTTGGTTAAAATGCCTTTAACTAGTTCTATAGTAATTGATCTTCGAAGATCAATAAAAAGATGAATGCATATTTGCATGTAAGGAAGTGCGTGGAAGAAACAATGTAAATAAATAAATTTTAGAGGAACATATGGTTGAAATGCGTGCCATACAAACTGAGCCAAAGAGACTAAAGGGTTGTTGCATCTACATGTGACTTCACTATTTTACTGGGTTAAGTGATCCTTCCTGTCAACTAGATACAATCGCAAGTAATGTGTGCTTTAGGATTAATCGTGGGCATTAAAAAGCACTCATGTTTAGACGCTTGAGCCCGGTCTGACTGTTTCTAGCTAGTCGGTTGGGCCACCTGACACAATACTTATGTTCTTAACGTCACAATTAAGCTCTTGTTTGACAGAATTTATTTGGAAAAAGTGGGTTTTTAAATGGTAAATTTTTGAGGAGTGTGATTAAAAAGTATAGAATAATTTTGAATTTATGTAAAAAAAAATATTTTACTGTTTTCACATGTGGTTGAAAATGAATATATAAAAAAGAAGATTTATAAAGCATGATTGTCAAACATGTGACAAGAGAGTTCGACTCTCCGCGAGTCTCGATATTGTGTCAATTTGTGTTGGGCTTGTTGAGGTCAGCTCTGACCTCATCTGAACTTCAAAATAAGCAGACCCGTGTCTCTGTTGGACTCTCTCCCTCGGTCACTCTCTCATGTGTAAATATATATATATATAGGGAGAGAGAGAGAGAGAGAGAGAGAGAGAAGGGTAGATACGTTACAGATTCGGCAGACAGAGCACATCAAATTGCATTTCTTCACTAGGGTTCATATCTGATTGTGATTTGATCAATTATCAGATGGAGAAACAAATTGTTGATTATGTATTTGTACCATTAGGCTTTGTACTAATGGTTACTTATCACATTTGGCTTCTCCATCAAATCTTGAAGCACCCAAACCGAACTGTAATCGGCATCAATGCAATCAATCGCCGCCTGTGGGTTCGTGCCATGATGGAGGTTTGTCTATACTTATTCATTCACTCAAATCAATTTTTTATACGAAAGATTGGATAGCAAGTGATCAAATTTCTTTGTTACACAATTGTAAATCTAAACAGTAATAATTTGTTTGGTAAGGTTGATTAGACTGTATTTTATAATATTAAAAATGAAATAAATTCTTAAATCATTATATTGTTCGGTTATGTTTGATGTGTGGTAGTAAAAATTACACTTTATTTACAAAACCATCTATTTCTATCCAATACGCTGACTATGGTATACTTTAACACGCACTAATTGATATGCGGTAAGAGAGAGAGAGGAAGAGGAAAAGAAAGTTAAAACTTGTATAGTTATATTCAGTTCAATTTATCAAACATGTTGTGACGTTGTCGAGGATGTAAATTAATGACAGGACACATCCAAGAATGGAGTGTTGGCTGTACAAACGCTAAGAAACAACATAATGGCATCGACCCTTTTAGCATCGACGGCTATTATGCTGAGTTCCCTCATCGCCGTGTTGATGATTGGTGTCGGTGGCGGCGAGAACCGTTCAACAAGGCTCGTTTTTGGAGACAAAAGTGAGTTTGGGTTTTTCCATAAAAGTTTTCTCTATATTGGTTTGCTTCTTGGTGGCATTCTTGTTTAATGTACAATCAATAAGGTACTACAGCCATGCAAGTATACTGATCAATGTCCCTTTCAAGAAAATGGCCACAAATTTTCTTGATAACACTGAGTATGTAGGGAGGACGGTAAATCGGGGGAGTTATTTCTGGTCATTAGGGCTGAGGGCATTTTATTTTTCTTTTCCTTTATTTTTGTGGTTATTTGGACCAATTCCTATGTTATTGTGTTGTATTATCCTAGTTTTTTTGCTGTATTTCTTGGATGTTACTTTTGGTCATGGGTGGGATTCTCTGTCTCCAATTGAAGAAAAGAAGACGGACGAGGAGGCCAATTGAGAAGATGACAGATTTGATACTACAATAAAGAGAAAAGTGCCATGGAGTCGAGTCGGACTCTTGTGCTTATTTGCCACTTTTGTTGTGAACGAGAGGGCAATGTGAATTCAATCCAAGTTGAATCGAATTGTTCTTTTACCTTGTATTTAACTTCTTCTTTAGTCCAGATTTCTGGTTAAAATGCCTTTAACTAGTTTTATAGTAATTGATCTTCGAGATCAATAAAAAGATGAATGCATATTTGCATGTAAGGAAGTGCGTGGAAGAAACAATGTAAATAAATAAATTTGCTTCAATTAACAGCCCTTTTTATAGATAAAATAGTTTAATTCGTGCATATATTAATTAGGTTTCTTGTTCGAAAGACTGAAGGAAAAAGTTCCCATGAATACATCATATTTTTCTAACAATTCAATGGATATGAACCTACCTACCTAAAATAAGCACACTCAATCTTCTTTTCTATTATTAACTAAAAGATCACATTTTAATGAAACTTTATGTGAGGTAGAATAGTTTTGGATGTATTCATTTCACAATAGAGTCTTCAGTACAAGTAGATAAACTTACTTCGAATGATAAAATTTATTTGCATTGATAGTCACACCTCGTGGCACGACAAATTTTTCTGAATCAATAAGTTAATATATTTATCAACAATATCTATTTAGTCACGTTTGGTATCACTTATATATTTTTTTCTCGTCCATGTTTGATTTTCATTATTAAAAGCTCATTTTTCCTCAAACCCATTTTTAACCATGCATCTTATGATATTCACAATTTTATGTAATTTTGTACCACACATTTTATAACTTTTTTCCTCCAATCTTTCATTAATTAATACATCTCGTCCTTGATGATGATATATTTCAAAAACATTTTATTTTCATGCTTTGAAATGAATTTTTCCCCACTTTTTATTTATTATTTTTTTTGAAAATTGATGGGAAAGCAAGTTTTTTTATGCAATTTCAACGAACGTTTAGACATAAAATTGTTATCAAATATAACATGTGTTAATTAATAAAAAGTTTGAGGATAAGAATAACATGAAAAATTATTAGGGATATAAGTGTTATAATGAACAAAATTTAATTACATTTTATCAAAATTTACTAAAAATCTATTTTTGTCTAAATAGACTTGAATCTGTTAACATAAATATTTTTTCTTCCCCAAGTGTGTGTGTGTGTCTATATATATATATATATATATTGTTAATATAAGATTTGATACTTCTGAGTCTTGACAAATTATTTTCTTTATTTGATTGCAATTTGCATGCCATACCTAAACTGTGAATCTCCTAAAAGTTATTCTTTCCTATTTTGTAACAATATATTTCACGATCAATTATTTGCAACTGCAAGAAAGTGGGAGCGCGCAAGTTCCAATCACCCAAGTCGTTCATTAGTATACATTTTACTTGCTAGAGTTGAGACACTGCTGAGACAGACAGCATTTCTGTGTATTGTAGTATGTCATGTTGTCTTGTACTCAAGACGCCTCGAAGAGTACACTGTGCACTGTTTTCCCAGTTTACTGATAAGGAAGCATTCCAAGTTAATCATGCATCCCTAGGTAGTCAATAAGAAGCCCATTCCGACTTAGTTGTCATCATCTCAGGCAATAGCAGGTTGGCAACTGAACTCGACTCGAAGAGGAAAAGCCCAAGTTTCTCCAGCAGTCTCTTGATTAATAAACCAGCAGTATACGAAAAACCCAAGACCACAAATCCCAAAACAACATACTTTAAGACAGTTTTCAAGTAAGATTTTGGGGGTCTCTGGGTGTAGGCTTTTCCAGTAGCTAGCACAGCAATGCATAGCAAAGAAGCTACTGCAACGACCACAAGCTTGAGTTCCTTGTTATTGTTCTTGCGAAATGAGAAACCATACACCACAGGAGGCACTAAGCCAAATATTATGTATGATAGTATGGCAACAGTTGCATGAATTACGAAATTCTGTCTCCATTCCAAGAGTTCTTTATGACGATCTCCTTGCTCGGTTAATTCATTCAATTCTTGCTCTGTGCAATTACTCTTTAGTTGCCAAAGCTGCAAATTTTAGCTTTACCGGGTAAAAACGTGTTTTAATGTTCATGTACTTGACTTGCTACGCAATGGTAGGATTTTAGCTTTTAATTCAACTAATTATAGCCTAAAATCAGTTCTGGCTATATTCCTAGTGAAGACATCAAAGATTTGTCCCTCTGCTGATCTTCCTAAATAAAGCTGTGAAATATCTAACAAATCCTGATTAATTAAAACAATAAAACTACTTACATTGTGAGCAATGATGAAAAGTCCACCAATCACATTAGCCATCCCCAGAGCTAAAATATTCACTGTCATGAAACGAATAAATTTAGTCACAGATCAGGACTCAACAGAAAACATAAGTGTAAAAAATGAATTCTTCTAACATAAATCAGAAGATTTAGCATCAAAAAAACAAAGAAAGTGTCCTTGTTCTGAAGCTTTAGCAAAACTATGTAACAATTTGGTAAGCAAGAAATATTAGCTTCGCACTAAGGCGCGTGATGTGCTATACTCGTCTGATAGAAAGGTTTTGTTATTGCATGATAAACAAGTTAGAATCAGTTGGATACTTATGGCAGGGAGGATTAATTAGTACTAGACAATATTGAGGAAAAAAATTAAGCTAAAATCTTGTTCAATATAATGTTTTGTCTTACCCACAACTCAAAAATCAAAACAGAGATTTAGTTCATGTTGGCAAACATTTGATATGAAATTGAAATGAATCATAGGAGATGGGAAAGTAGTTGAAATGTTGGCAAACATTTGATATGTCCTCTAGAAATTAAAATCCACTTACATGTAGCAGCATTCCCACCGGCTGCTGAGGATACAACACTCAGGCTAGAAATTGACTCGGCTAACCCACCATACACTATGCTTTTAATTACTTCGATTTCATAAGCCTTTCTTGGTTCACTTTCTATGTGTTCAGTAACACGAGTTTGAGTTGACGAATGCAGTGCAGATCCTGCTTCTGCAGCAAGAAGTATATCTTGTGCCCTTTGAGAAGCTGTTGTTTCAATTGGTCCTGTGTCTACATTTATTATTGCATCCTTGTCTGCATCAAATCTTGCAGTTTAGTTAATATCGTAGGGCTGTGAACATTCTTTTCTTTAATCATGAATAAGTAATTTTTTAATTAATTCATACCCGAACCATTATCTGCCGCCACCTGATTATAATCTTCAATAATGTTAACTGGTCTACCTTGAGCAAATGAGACATCTTTTCCCGATGAAATACAGTCAACTTTCATTGGCTCCCCAGTGTGGACTTCCCATTTGGTTTCAGTGATAATATGTCGAGAAACTTCTGCAGGATGGATGGCACCCGCTAATTTAAGGGCAAAGTTATTATATCATGAAACATCCATGTCCAAAAACCTAAACCATAATCTAATGAATTAAGTATAGACAGGATTGAGAATTGCAAATCAAATATTTAAGAGTTACATACCATCAATGTTACTATCGAAATTTGCATTTTTGCTTTCAACTACAGATTCAGTAAGAACTGTGGCCCCAATATGTTGCTCATATTCAGGAGCAAAATCCAATGAAATGCTAACTTTTACATTTGCATCCGATTCTTTGAGTGCTGAAACTGGTGTTGGCAACCTAGTGATGGCCTCCTCATCTGTAGTTCCACCATTTAACATGCATGAATTACTAAAGTTGAAACTAATTCTAGTTTTTTATTCCATCAGCACAATATTGAAAAGAGCAGTGGTAGAGAAAGACGAAACAATCAACAATTTTACCATAGAAATGCTGTAAATTCCTACTGAATCTTAAAAGAGCAAACAAGCCGTCTTTTAAATTTCCAACGGGCACGATATCAAATTCAAATATTCGATTAGTATTTTTTTTATTGTTTATCCATACAAAAGAATCATAAAGGGTTAAATCACACGCCATGTTGAAATTTAACATGCTGGACAATGTTTTCCTGCCCAGTGTTCTACTTATGTGTACAACTGTACCTTATGAAGTCAACTTTTACCTGCCTTTAATTTTTGTATTGTGTGATCAGGTACTTGGCCGTGGTCTGATTCCCTAGAATTCATGGATTCCTCATTTGAAGAAATCAGCAACTTCAATCCACCTTGTCGAGACATAGAGGTCGCATACTCTGCAGATTCTTCAGTAGTAACTTGAGCATTGCTAGAAGGCTTCATTACTGATACAACTGTAGAATCTGTTGTAACAGAAGATCATTTATAAAATAAAAAGGCAGATGTGCTGAAGAAAGAAAAATTATCAGTAGGAAAAGCATGTTGCTAATTTTCTCAAGGCAGTGCCAAATTTTGAATCTTCGGCTCTTTATGAGGTCATGTTCTGACTAAAAAAGCAGAAGTTCTATTTCATTCTGAACCTTTACTCTTTATTGTCGGATTATCTGATTTATTTTCTACACCAATTGTCACTTTTCCAAATGCAGGCTCTTGTCTTGAAGAAGGTAGAATCTTATCTCTACTTTCCAGAGACTCACTGGTCCAGTTAGTACTTACGAGTCCTTCAGAAATTTTGAAATTTTGAATACCTCAACATTTAATGAGGTCTTATTCTGACTATAACAGCAAAAGTTCAATGCTTTCCATACCTTTCTTCTTAGTTGTTGCATTATCTGATTTGCCTTCTGCATCAACTATCCCATTTCCAGATGCACGCTCTTGTCTTGAAGAAGGTAGAATTGTTTCTCTGCCTTCCACAGACTCACTGATCCCATTGGTGGTTACACTTCCTTCAGAAACATGAGATCGTGAAGAACCTTTTTGCATCAATGACAGCTTACCACTCTGATAATCGAGGTCGGGTGATGGGAAGAGTCCAATATTACTTTTTCGTTCATCATCACGAAGGCTACTTCCTGCAGGGGAAAGCAGCTGTGAATTTTAAATAAACAGTTACATGGAATTCATCCTACTTTCTTTTATAAGTAAAAGATGTAG